TGATGAGTACACTATTGGGAAAACTTAAAAGAATAGGTTAGGGATACATCCTCATGGAGAAGATCTAGCTATGTGGTTGTTAGGAATCAAAAACAACTTGATGGCACAAACAAGCCATGTGAAAAAGGCCATCTTCTATCTTTAAGGAACATTACAGGTCTATTCCACCCATAATTCATCACAACAAAAGCAAAAGATGAGAATGAAGAGTAGGCATGACTTCTCATGGCTCTTTTTTTAAGTCATGTAACCAGTAGGATGGGAAAAAAGAAGGACCTTTCCTGATGGCTTTCCCATTGCTTACAGGTAGCCAACAGGAAAGGTTGCGAATCACAATTGTGACCGTGAAACGCTGCAACCATTATAAACAGGAACTGGTTACCAAACACTCAGATCACGATCATGTCATCACAGGGTTGCCGGGATGGCTAAATTATGAAAACTGATCCTCACCACTGCTCATTTAGAGCTGTCATAACTTTGAACTGCATTTAACCACATGTGCAGTTATCCCCTGGCCTCAAAATTTCACTTAACCAAGGATTGGAGTGGAAGCCTTAGAATGACACGTAGTCTCAACATTTTGCCTCCATACATTCTCTTCGCTGTCGCCTGATTAGGTCTTTCAGGTCTTTCTAAACTGACACTTGATTTGACATGAGTAGAAATTTTAGCTGAATAGGAATTCATGTGGTGTGTGTTGGGTGGGGGAGAGAGAGAAGCATTCTGGAAGCATGTTAATTTTATTTGAAGTTGTAGATAGGTTTCTGAAGTAGATTTTCATTTTCCTTCAAGCAATCACTTTTCTCCTAGGAATGCCCAAAATTGTCTTGATTTATTTCCCACATTCATTACCCTTTTGGAGCAGGAGAAAGTTCAATAAGCAACAACATTAAGGTTGACATTTTAAAACTCGTGTTACCAAGCTAAAGAGCATTTCCCCTCCGAAACAAATGTTGCTTCTTACTAATAAGGGAACAGCAATTCACTGCCTTGGAGATTCGTTGGGGGGGGGAAGTGCGGGGAGAGGAATGGAAAATTAACCATCCCATGCGTTTACACAGCTGAATGTATGCAGTGTACTAGAGGCTGCATTGTAGATAAAAAGGCAAGAATAGGCATGCTAAGTAAACAGAAGAGCATAGAGAACACATATGTTGTGTGCAAACAATATTCTGTCTGCTTCAATGGATTCAATGGACAATAGAGCCATATATAATTCTGGTTTGACTGGGCAGACTCTTAGCTACAATGATTCAAAGCAGAGGTTGCTGTACTTACCTGCAGCTCAGCAAACAGCTATTTAGAAGGGTTTGTTGAAGGCTATTGTGTTGAAGAAGCTTCCCCACATGTTTTCTTAGCAGCCCACCAAAGAATGGGTCGTCTGTTTACCCGGGAGATTTTGCTGCTGTGAAAGGGAATACCTAGGAGCTGGTTTGGCAAGCAGCAAGGGAGCTTAGTTTTGAATTGTGAAAGGATAGCTGGAGGACAAGGATTACTGTTCTGTTCAAGGTCTGGAAGGATAAGGGATGTGTAGTATTATTGAGCCAAAAGTAGCCTGCTGTAAAAGGTTAGATCCTTGTTTTTGGCAGACATAAAAGGGAAACCTTTAAAGTTATGGTTTGAAACATTTCCATTTTTATGTGAATATGTGTCTTCCTGTTTATGCCTCCACATGAACTGGTATTTGGAGGTAAGGGAGTATACATGTCTACCTAAAGCTCCTTAAAGTTTTTTTTTTTGAATACTGCTTTGTATTTATGATCATAAGTGATATGTAAAGTTGAAAACATTAGAAGTGTAAGTCAGGATTATGACTTTTAACATAAATGATATGTGGGATTAAAATGGAGTCTTGAAGATTACAAATCAGCCATTCCAAACCTCTAATGAATTATTAAGAATGGCAAGTTAAAAGAATGCAGCATTTGATTATTTTAAATCACCATGTGAGTTACCCTTAGAATTATAGAATCATAGGGTTGGAAGGGATCTTGCAGGCCTGTTAGTCCAAATTGCTGCTTGAGCAGGAGACCTTATACCGAATGATTATCTAATCTCTTCTTGAAAATCTCCAGCAATGGAGCATCCACAATTTCAGGAGGCAAGCCATTCAACTGATGAACTGTTCTCACTGTCATAAAATTTCTTACAAGATCATCTGTGTCTCTTTCAAGCCTTTGACAACCAGGAAGTGTGATCACAAGGACCAATCTAAATTAGAACCATGCCCCATCCTTATTCTTTACAGAGCAGATGTTGATAGTTGTTTCATGGTTGAAGTCCAAAATATCTCGAGGACCTCTAGGTTCTCCGTCCCTATAATAGCCTGTAGCCATTGATTGCAAACTGTTTATCACCAAGAACTGCCCTTAACTTTTGGTAGGGGTGAGGACTATATTGTATTAGACAAACATGCAAAATCATGTTTTCTTGGGGGATACTTTTGAGATTTTCCTTTCTTTTATAAAAAAAACAGTGCAACGTTTGTTTTAGACTTACATTGCAGTGTGCATGTTTTCTGCACAGCAACAAGAAGCTGTGTCATTGTTTAGTGCTCAGTTCAGAGCAGCAAATGGGAGCTGTACAAAAGGAAACTGGAGCCTCAAATTGCCATAATTGGTTTTCAGGCTGAACCAAAACAAATTAATTTCTGTTTCTGCAACAGAGGTTTCTATTTCCCAATGCATTCCATTGCACACAAAGTTCAAGAGATTCATTACACCCCGTTGATATAAACATGAGGCATGATTGTGAATGGAGTAGTGCAGAATTCCTACAAGATTTCAATCGGATGAAGAAAACACATATCTAATTTGATCATATGACTGCCCTGTTCACACAGTTTGCAGGCACATTGGGACAGTCATGGAAGAAGAGTATGTGAAGAGTACTTTCCTACTGTGACCTTGTGACTGTTGTAACTGCCAACCTGTAATGTACTTAATGTCTAGTTTCATACATTCTTCCTAAGAAATACTTTATTGTAGTTTGTAATGATTTCCTACTGCTTCATTTCCCCCCAAGATGAAGTTTGCCCTGACCCTATTGGCATTTAGGAAATCCTCAAAATATGGCTTTTGACAGGCTTGAGGGTCCCAGGGAAATAGGGACCCTGCAAGATGGTTATATTGTGTGTAGCATGCTGGTCTATTTCCCGCAATCTTATACAGTGGTACCTTGGTACTCAACTGCTTTGAAACTCATCAAATTTGGTACACAACACACTTTGACATGAAAATTTTGTCCCAGTACTCATCATTTGTTTAGTACTCAACACACAAGCTAGAACTTGTCAATGTGACTCACTACATTATTGCTTATAGGGAAAATTTGTTTGGTACTCATCATTTTTGGTACTTGTCGTGCCTCCTGGAACCAATTAAGGATGAGAACTGAAGTACCACTGCATTTGTGTTTAAATTGTGTTTAATTTGTTGTTTTATATTTGTTTTAATTTATTTTAATTGTTATTTGTACACTGTCCAGAGACACATTTGTGAGATGGGTGGATGTATAAATATGATAAACAAATAAGAAAACTAAAAATCTTTACAGAGAGTTACTTTTCTTTAAACCAGAAACACCCAACCAGAAGATTTTGTCACTGTAAATTTACAATAAAAATAGTGTTAGTACTATTTTTAGTTAGTACTACAATAGTTAGTACCGGCTTTGGTTTCTTGTCTGGATCACTCCTGAAAGGCTGATATCAGACTTGCAAGTTTGAAAATACTTCTCCCATCCTTGCCTTTATTTTCTAGACAGGTAGGAAGAGTTTCCTCTGGGATGCTTTCCCTGCCCCCATTCCTTATTGTGGGCTGAGATTTTTTTTTCTGACCATTATATAGGCCAGTGATAGCTAACCTTTTCCAGACCGAGTGCCCAAAGCACGTGTGCGCAAATGCATGCACGCCCGAACCCCCAAAATGCAATGTGCGCATAGCCCCTGTGCATGTGCCCCACATACACCACGCATGCACGCACAGCCCTCCGCATGCACCCCTGTGCATGCATATGTGCCCCCGCATGCGCCTTGCCCCCTGCGCATGCACGGCAGAGCCCCAAACACCAGCTGGCCGGTGGGAGGTGCGTGCACATGCGCAGCAGAGCTGAACTGGGGCGACGGCTTGCATGCCATCAGAGAGGGTGCTGCATGCCACCTCTGGCACACGTGCCATAGGTTCGCCATTATGGATCGAGGATGCAGCTCTTCCAGTTTCTGTGTCTCAAGGTGATTCTCATAGCCTATTACAATATAGTAGTTGGTATGGTAAAAATACGGCAAGTTACTAACTTCACTTATTTGCGAAGTAGATGGGAAATATTTGTGACACTGCAAAAGTAAGCTGTTTCTCCTATCTTTTCTGCCTGTAACTCCTGACCCACTAGAGCTCTTGAAATTGAAATGTTGTAACAGAAAGCCCATTAAACTGTTGGAAGTATTCCTTTTGGACTATATAGTATCATTAACAGTATGCTTAAATATAGAGTAAAGCCAGGAAATACATGAAATATAGAATATCATGAAATAAATAATAAAAAAACTAATAAAAGCAATAATATAAGAGAGCCAGTTTGGGCTAGTGTTTAAGGCACAAGGCTAGAAACTGGGAGGTCATAAATTCTAGTCCCACCTTAGCCAAGAAAGCTAACTAGGTGACTTTGGGTCCGTCACTCTCTCTTAGCCCAAGTCACCCATAAGAATTTTTTGTGGGGAAAATAGGAGAAGGAAGTTGCATTAGGCATGTTCGCCATCTTGAGTTATTTATAAAAATAATAATAAACATGGAATATAAAATAAATAAATAATTCACATTTCAAGAATTCGAAATGAGTTGCTATGCTGAAGGGGATCAGATTGGAAATGGTTGCCCTCCTGCTATCTAGCCTTATTGCCGTGGACTTACCAGTTGTATTCGGTATAATTATACTGTTCTTTTTCATATTAGGATTTGGTTGCGGTTGTTTTTAATGCTACTTCCTTTTTTTCCCTCTAGGCTCTAATTCTTCATCAGCTTGGCCGGTACAGCTTGGCCGAGAAGATCCTTCGGGACGCTGTCCAGGTGAACTCAACAGCCCATGAGGTTTGGAATGGCCTCGGGGTGGTTCTGCAAGCTCAGGGTAATGATGATGCAGCCACGGAATGTTTCCTGACGGCACTGGAGCTTGAAGCCAGTAGCCCTGTTGTCCCTTTCACCATCATCCCTCGAATCCTTTGAAAGGCAGACTGCTCATCCTGCTTCAGCTGAACTTGAGAATGTGAGGACGCCTATGAGCTAATCTTTCCTTCTGACTCCAAGGGGCAGCTCTTCACCCTGAGAGGTAACAAATACAACTGCAGGCAATCTGCTCGTTTCTGTCGGGTGTCAACGCGGGAAAGCAATATAGGATCTAAATCAGTGAAGAAAAATGGGAAAAGAGAAGGAAATAAACACACATGCACACTTTAAGCCACCATGTATGTATTGTCTACATTTTTTGCCACATAGTCATTTCGAAACCTGATGCTTATTGTTCAAATGGATATTGTGCCATATTTTGTTAGGTGACATCAGAGTGTTATGTAAAAACTCTAAATAGAATCAGTGATAGATAATAGATTCAAGTTAAAATTCAGTGGCAGAGCAAGCCTATTTTTAACCAAGCCTGTCAAAGACCTGTTTTCTTCATGGCTTTCAACCTCTCTGGAGCTCAGAATCAAAATGTGAAATTTGCTGTGTTCCATCTTCTATGGTAGTCCAGCCCAGCAAATCAGCTGAAAGGTTATGTTTTGAGTTGTTAATAGCTGTGATGTGTAGCTAATCGTTATTTCTTGTATTTAGAAGAAAGGTTGTGTACAAGAATATTTATATTTTACCAGCGTATGCCTGTTGAAACAAAAAAGAAATGAAAATATTAGTTATTTAAGTTTAACTTTTTTATGTGAATCCAGAGTTTATTTATCAATGGAAATATGTAAAAAAGATGCTAAAAATAGAATATTTACCGACATTCCTTATGAAGTATACACTACCTTGGCTCAATGGAAAGATTATGTTAATAATAAAATGATTTTTGAATGCATATAATGCTTGTCATTTTTATTTGATAGCTGGATGAAAATAATTAGAACTGACTCATGACATGGCCAAATTACGTGCATCTTAGTTGAATTACTATTGTGCATAAGTATATTAAACAATAGTACATTATATATTTATTATGCATTAATGCTAATTAATTGATTAAATCATTAAAGCCAAATACTTTTGATAAAATTCTTAAAGCAGTTGCATTTGGTTCTGTCATGGAATCCTGAAAAAAGATCCATATTTTAATGAATAATAGTGCTAAAGCCACATCTTTGAATCATTTTTATATGTGCACTACCATAATATATACAGTATTCTAATAGTTATATTCTTAATATTGATTAAGTGTTTATTAATTTACTCACTAACTATATTATCACGACATAATGTGTATTTATACATAGTGTACATTTCTCACGTTTTGGGGGGATATTTTGTATCAGCAATATTAATTGGAGTTCTCTCACTGCCTGAAATGTATATGGCAATAGCACTTAGCAATAGCACTTAGACTTATATATTGCTTCACAGTGCTTTACAGCTCTCTCTTAAGCAGTTTACAAAGTCAGCCTATTGCCCCCAACAATCTGGGTCCTTATTTTACCCACCTCGGAAGGATGGAAGGCTGAGTCAACCTTGAGCCCGGTGAGATTCAAGCTGCCAAATTGCAGGCAGCCAATAGTCAGCAGAAGTAGCCTGCAGTACTGCATTCTAACCACCGCGCCACCACAGCTCTATATTTGTTTTGTTCGCATTTATATCCTGCTAGAATCCAGATCTTCCTTTATCAGTGAAGGCTGCCTTTGGCATATCAGCAAAGAATCTTCTAGTCTCAGCTTCCTCCTGCTTCTAGAACAAGAGCCATGAATGCAGAAGGTCTCCCTAAGCATGAACCTGCTGCTTTACAGTTAATGTAGGCCCATGCAGACTAACACTCCATTGATAGACAACCATGTATAAATAGCAACTCCATATTGCTTGAGTCAACTTCAGCCTGTTATCTCACACTGAGACTTTGCAGCCTGCAGGCACCAGGATAAGACTTCAGCACAGCCCCTATAGCCTACAGTGGTGATATACAGGTAGTCCTCAACTTACGACCACAATTGAGTGCAAAATTTATGTTGCTAAGTGGGAAATTTGTTAAGTGAGTTTTGCCCCATTTTATGACCTTCCTTGCCATGGTCGTTAAGTGAATCACTGCAGTTGTTAAATTAGTAACACGGTGGTTAAGTGAATCTGGCTTCCCCACTGACTTTGCTTATCAGAAAGTCACCAAAGGGGATCACATGACCCAGGGACACTGCAACCATCATAAATGTGAGTCACTTGTTAAGCGTCCCAATGTAAATCATGTGACCATGGGTGTTAAGGAATTCGCAGAGTAACCCTTGAATAGCAAGGGTGTGCACATGAAAGCGATTGAGAGTAGGTACGAATAATCACAGTCAACACACAGATACACTGAGTTGTGTTTACTTTCAGGAAATAGTAAGGCACAGTCCAATAACCAGTCCAGATCATACACATATAAAGCAGGAGATAGCAAAACGACAGTCCAGGGATAATCCAATAACAAAGTCTTCTTACCAGTCGTCGTAGTCATTCACAATAAACAGTTCTTCTGGATTTGCAAACAGTAACATTCAGAGATATCAGAGAGCAAGAACAGCAAAAAGAGACAAACCATGTTTCTAGCTCCCTCTTAAGGACATTGGCAACACAGCTAACCAATCAGGACACAGTATGATGCAATACAGCAGTCTTAAAGCTATACAATACAATTGCAATACGCTGCAAACATACATAGATGGTTTATATATTGCCAACCCAACAAGTTAGGTAATAGTCTTATTCCTAACATCAGAGATGCTGCAATGGTCATAAGTGTGAAAAATGGTCATAGGTCACTTTTTTAGTGCCGTTGTAACTTCTAATGGTCACTAAATGAACTGTTTTAAGTAGAGGACTACCTGTACATCTGGATATCATCAGCATATTAATTATGCTGTACCTCAAACTGGAAGCAGGGGGAAGAGGACAGAGCATAATGGCACCTCTAAAGTCATAAGTCACTGGGCCAAACTTCATCCTTCCCCAATATAGACTGAATTTTTCCCCCTTAAGAAGAGCAGAACTCTAAAATAGTGTTCCCAATTCCCAACCTCTACAAGTAGCCAAGTAAGATACATGGCCAATAATATCAAAAGCTGTCAAGAGGTCCAAGAAATCAGGAGAATGCATACCCTGACACAGGTAATTCATTAAGATGACTAAAGCCATCTCACCTCACACATGGGCCTGATTCCCTGATTAAAAGGGATCAAGATAATCCATTTCTAGAATGTTGCATAGGAGATTGATCACTGCCAAATCAAAAACATTCCACCCAAAAAGAAAGGTTGGGTTCCAGCTAATAGTTATACAAGACCCCTCAGATCCAGGCATGAACCCTTTCAAAAAAAAAAGGGGGGGGTGAGCTTTCAAAATTTTAGGCAACTCCTATAGCAACGCATTGACAGATTTGAATGGATTCCTTGAGTCATCTGCTGTGCCATTAGTAATACAAGTATGTAGATATATATTTTAGTATTGCCTAGCACAATCCTATGCATTTTTTTTTATTAAAAAAGCCATTATGTTCAGGGACAAATACTTTCAGACAGAGAATTGCAACCAAAAAAAGCCATTTGAAAGATTGTAGTCTTTCATCTCTGATTTAATACAATTTCTTTCTATGTGCTCTTATCCTAAAATGCAAGTTAGATATTTGGTTCAAGTAAAAGGCCAGATCCATCATTAGTCCTTAGTACTAACATACTGATTCAATCTGTCAAGAGTATTCTAAATAAATGACCACCCAGTTCCTGATTATGCTTTCTTTCTACTTCCTTATGCAAATACTCATTTGGCTCTTTTCTTTGATTAATGCCAATTCTCTCATTAGTTCAACTAATGTAGTGTAAAAAAAAAACTGCATAGCATTGTAATGTTGCCCTTACAGCAACAGTTCCCAAGAATACTGCAGGTGTCTCACACAAACAGGATGCCAACAGTTGAACAGAACCCAGGTTGTGTTGAATCACAGATGTTCTCACTGAGAAACATCCAGTATTTTCCTGTTTTCACTTGAAATCAACAAGAACAAGTTTTAACAGTTATTAATGACATTTTTAAAATCATTTTAGAAAATATGCAGATCAGAAGGGGATGGACAACATGCCACTGATAGGCACCATATTACTAATTAGGGGACTGGAGGCTAAAAGATACAATGAACGGTTGCAAGAACTGGGCATGGCTAATCTAGTGAGAAGGACCAGGGGAGAGATGTTAGAGTTTGCAGCAATCCAACCAGCACACAAGTAAATAATTCAGCAGGATTCATGTATAAAAGAAACTTTTTTATATACAGTAATATAAACCATGATGCTCACAACAGATCCTGTTTCTTAGTCACCAAACTGTTCCCATTGACTGACTTGTTATGGCTATCCCAGTTCATAATTTCTTACACACTGACAAGATGTACCATATTTGAGGGGCTGCCACAGAGAGGAGGAGGTCAAGCTATTTTCCAAAGCACCCAAAGGCCAGATAAGTAATAGCGGATGGAAACTGAACAAGAAGAGATTCAAACTGGAAATAAGGAGAAATAATAAGTGAGATTGTTCTCACTTTCTGACAGTGAGAACAATCAACCAATGGAACAGCTTGCCTTCAGAAATTGTGGGAGCTTCATCACTGGAAACTTTCAAGAAGAGACTGGACTGCCATCTGTTAGAAATGGTGTAGGGGAGTGGTGAAATCCAGATTTTTTTACTACTGGTTCTGTGGGTGTGGCAAGGGAAGGATACTGCAAAATCTCCATTCCCACCCCACTCCAGGGGAAGGATACTGCAAAATCTCCATTCCCTCCCCACTCCTAGGGGAAGGATATTGCAAAATCTCCATTTCCACCCCACTCGGGGGCCAGCCAGAGGTGGTATTTGCCAGTTCTCCGAATTACTCAAAATTTCTGCTACCGGTTCTCCAGAACCTGCTGGATTTCACCTCTGGTGTAGGATCTCCTGCTTGGGCAGGGGGTTGGACTAGATGACCTACAAAGTCCCTTCCAACTCTGTTAATCTGTTAAATCCAGATAACATGGTACTTTGCAAAAACTTTTGAAGATGATATATAGTGCTCCTTCAAGCAAAAGAATGGCCAACTCCTATTAATCTATAGGTAGTCTTCGCTTAGCAACCCCAGATGGGGCCGGCAACTGCTAAGAACGTGATCGCTAAGCAAAACATCACATCATCATGGCATACAATGTCACTTCCCATTTGGTTGCTAAGTGAGTCAGTGTGGTTTGTTATAAGAGTCCCATGACTACGATTGCACTGCCGAATTCTCCACTGACTCTGCTTTTCAGAAGCCAGCTGTGAAGTTGGCAAACGGCAATCACGTGAGCAAGTCTCAGTCACATCTCGCATTCTATTATATCACAACTGTTTTATGATAATTTTTATGTTATAAAGTGTTTTATAAAATTTGCCAAATTTCAATTCCACCTATATCATGGGCCCCAGATTTTAGACAGACTCTGTAAATTAGTCCATTTATGATACTTGGTTCGACAACTGTTGCCATATGGTGTAGCATTTCATCACTCTTCCCATCCTGCTTACAATCTTTTTGGGCTGTTGCCTTCTGGCAGAAGATACAGAACAATTAAAACTCGGACCACACGTTTTCTGAATAGTTTTTATCCCAGAGCTATAATTGCACTCAACAATGAACTAAAGGGCTACCATCAGTGAGCTGTTGGACAGTATTACTTGATCTGTTGTGTGGATGTTTGAGTGGTTTAGGGGTGGGGAATTGTGGTGGGTGGGAGTGTGTTTGGGGATTGTTATGTGTGTGGACCTGGTCTTTGGGTGTTAAGTGAATTTTGTTGTATGGGTATACTGTGTATACACGTACAATGACAATAAAGTAGTAGTAGTA